GGGGGGGGGGGGGGGGGGGGGGGGGGGGGGGGGGGGGGGGGGGGGGGGGGGGGGGGGGGGGGGCACATATCGTAGCCGACAACAGCCAGTATCAATGGTTTAGGGAACGACGACGCCGACGACGCAATCAACAGGAACACTGTCGGGCGGGTCTCCTGGCACTCACGTCAGAGTTCCTTCCCAGGTGTGCTCGTCGCAGAGATCGTAAACGCCGTCCCAAAAGAGGATCGACCCCACGATCGCTAAGAGGCTCTGTATCCAGAGACAAGCGCGAGCAAGATTCGTCCGAAAGAGGAGATGGGAACGACTCGTGAGCCTGCTGTCTTTTTTGCTCCACCGGTGGCGTTTCCAGTTTCAATCAAACCACTCGACGTTCACAACTATGCATGCTGCTGCCTCTGTTGTAGTCGTGATCGTCGTTGTTGCTCGTAAGTCTTGGCGCCAGAGCTCGCCAACACAGCCGTTCGGTACTGAGCCTTACAAACACCGGTGACCTTGACTAGATTCCGTACGAAGGCCTCGCTGAAGTAGATGCAATCACGGCGGACCCCGATCACAAAAGCAAAGTCCGATTGCTTCCAGAACAGAACAACTATGATTCGCCTCAAACGAACAACACTTCCAACTCGTGACGACGACTTGTTTACCAACAGCGACTCGAATAGACATGCGCCCGCTGTCCGGGTCGTCTATGTCCACATGTGAGGCAGACGTACATCAGCGCGCCGTGATAATGGATGATCGTCCGGAGTGCGAATTGTCGCACCTGGACAACCTTGAGGATTTCGCGAATCCCACGTGTCTGGGGATCAAGCTATTCCCCTTCGTTTTGACCCCCGTTCACCGTCTTACGAATTCACCAGTTCGTACTCCCTTCCAACAGTCTTCTGGCTGGAATATCTCACAGGTCTCAAATCCTTGCCAACAGTCTCCTCCAAAATTTGCGGGCATAGAAAAGAAAAAAAAAATAGACCAAGACCAGTCCGCTCGGACTCTTGCCCTTTCGAGCGGGAATGAGCATCGTCGAACCGCGGTGCGCTTGCTCGTTTCATGGGGGCAGAAACGGAGGGAAAAGGCTGTCACTCTTATCACGCCCTACCCTGGCGTAGAACTTGGCTTCGTCGCGCCAGCGGAGCCTGCCCTGCACCAGCAGCGAGCCCATCTCGGACAGCGAGCCCTCCTGGTCCAAAGAGTCCATGCCTTCCGGGGTTCGTGGGCACACACGTATCGTTAGGGGCCACAGCAGCTGCTACAAAATGAAGAAAGAGTTGGTTGACAGCCTCGCCAAAAACCGCGTGAAGACTACGTGTTCTCCGTTGACTTAAATGGCAAAACTGTGGCGGACCTTGTCGATCTTGGGCGACTCTGATATCTGCCAAAGCGTTTGGAGAACAGGTTCCAAAAGGAACCCTAGCACATACTGAGAGAAGACGAAAATCTTTTCCTTGGGTTCATTGCAACCGCCAGGCCGCGGACGAGAGAGTAAACAGAATACAGTACGACGGCGCATTAACATGAAAAGGGTAGCCCACGACCGGCGGCAGATACTGTACGGGTAGCATTACAGTAGAAGCGTTGAGCATAAAAATCCATTGGCGCAGCACGTCAAACGAAGAGGAGGTACTGGACGAAGGCCGTTTGCATAGCCCATGTCAAGAAAACAGCAAACTACAACTTCGGTGCACCCAAGTCGAACTGCCTGATAGGTGCTTCGTTCCTTTTGCCCAATTCTCACATCCACGAGGGGCAGTTCTCATCCAGTGGGGGCAAATGAAAGCACGTGTGCGCGTGCCAACGGTCGCTGAAGTATAAAGATCAAAGGACCATGTGTAGATATTCGGGCAATCTCTAACATCACCACGGACATATGTCGGTGAGGAGCACGAATTTTCCCATTACACTGATTATCCTTGTCCAAAAATCAACAGATATCAACAAGTCGGACGAAAACTCGGCACCTGCGTTCGAAAAAAAGGTTCTGGTCCAGACCATGATCCAAGCGCCAGCCACCGCCAGCCCTAGCTCTTTCCACAACCCTGTCCCGCCAGGAACGTGCCTATCGAGCAGGGTCCAGACCCCCTGCATTGGACATTTCACCATCCCACGGGGCCCAAAGAGTCAAAGGAACGATGCTTTAAGGGTACCAAATGTCCTGCATGCGCTATACACCTGTGCATCGTCAGGCCTGCGACGGCGACGTTGTAAACCTCGTTTAATTTCTCATAACGCCGCATATTCAGCCAAGGTGGACATATCGGGTAGCGATTATCTAGGAGTTCCGCCGGCCAAGCAGGCGAAGTGTTGCGCCAACGCACAAGAATCCCGGAGAAGCTCAGCAAGGCATGCCCCTGGTTACCTCGGCCCCGCATGCCCTATTGTAAGAGTATCCAGTTGGCCACGCAGGAGAAGAAACGCAGCACCCTGGCACCGAATCGCGCCTGAAATGCGTCCCCCGAGCGATCGTGTTCTCGAAAAAAGAAGAAAAAAAACAAGAAGGACAACCCTACCGTTGTAGAGTTACGGTGGCGTGCTATGGAACTGGGCCACCCTGGCACCGCACGTCTCTAGCCCAACGCTTGCATGAATCAAACTCAGAGAGCAGAGACGCCCAAAGTAGCGGTGGAGGGTAGACATATGGATGTAGAGACTAACGAGGGACAATCCAGCGCCTAGCGTAGTACAAGGGCGTCCGAATCCCACGAACGACCGGGCGACGGCGGCGCGATCCACCAAGACGGCCGAACACAATGCAAAAACAACCCAGCTCAACCCACAACGACCCAAGAACGGGCCTGGCTCCAACCGACCGTCATTTGTGAATTGAAACTGCAGCAGTAGATCAGCATACTTCCAAGACCCGACCCAGCCTGCGTTCACAACCGTGTTTTGGAAAATATGGACTGTTTCCTGAAAGAAGTGCAAAGCGCACTTGCACATTTAATCCACACGCCAACTCCAAGAGGCACTCTAGAATAAAGGCCTACGTTCGACCCTGTCGAGCCGACATGTAGCGGTGACACGTAGGAGCCAAATTGAGAGACTGCTGTTATACAATGAATGGCAAGCCGTTGCACCAGACTACGGTGGTCAAGAGTGATCCAAGACAGGAGAACATCTCCGGACATTTTCGACGAGGGTCGCCGGCTCCCCAAGAGGAGGTGGCGTCGGTCGTCGATGTTGACCTCCCAGTCCAGCCGGGATTCCCGGCCAGCGTCGGCTCGCAGCTTTACAGCGGTGGTTGGCAGGACACCCAGCAACCTCTCACAGCGCCTTGGTAAGAACCCGTCGTAGCCTGCGGCCTTCCACCGCGTCGGTGACGGCACGGGTGCCTTCCCTCAGGAGGAAGCCATGAGAAAGATGGGAGACCGGGGTCATTCCACACGTGGTTTTGGCACACTCTCCGGCTCTCGGCCACGACGGCGCGAAGGAGGGGGCCAACCAGGCGCCACCTTCGCGTGAACAGGCGGGCCCCGAGGGTGTCGACGCCGAGGTTGAACATTGCCGTGGATCCCACGCGATCCGCCGCGCATGCGCGGAAGCGCCGCAGACGGGAGGTAGGCGATGCTGTCGTGGTGCAGCGCAGACATCGTGTCAACATATCTTCCCTACAAGGAGGCCTTCCGGGGAACAGCAGGCCTACCCCTGCCCGCCGGATCGACGAAAAACGACGCTGGTGGTACATTTTGGGAGGGGAGCTCAACGCTCTCGGAGATGTGCGTGCGCCGCTGGACTGAGAACGCCTTCGCTGCTGTGGACACCCTCCCGCACCTCGGATAGGATGGTTATCCCCCTCTCCACCCGGGAGCACGGGGCGACCGCCGTGCTCCACCTCGGCTCCGAAATCTCGGGCCCACCTGTGAACCGCGGCGTTCCCACCGGAGAACCACCATCGCTTCCGCTGCGTCCGTAGCCCTCAACGGCCTATACCTCCGGACTAGGCAGCGCGGGTCTTCGAGAATACGGTGGAAGGGCTCGACGCAAGGGACGGCGGCGAAAGACGGCCACCTCGCCGGGATAGGACATGTCATGCGAGGTGCGAGAGGACCTCCATAGCACCGAAGCCGTTCTTGGCCATTCGGCGTGTGTACATCTCCAGACTCGTTTCGTTCTCCCAGAATGTGCCAGCATTTTCCTCGATCTGGACGGCAGGATTTGTGCTACATGTCTATACTGCAGGTCCTATGCCCTTGAAGGTCTCTGTGTTGCGATGATATCTGTGCAGTTTGAAAACTGCATGAGCACAGCATCGTCCACCTCCCGTGTGCGGTGCCGTTTTCATTGTTCCGCGCAAGCGCGGTGGATCGCGCGGGATCCACCACCACAAGGCAGCAGGGCTGACATAGCTCTCTACATACCGGTCGCCCCGGTGGTCTAGTGGGTACCCTCGCAGCCTGCTACGGGCCAGGTCATGGGTTCGAGTCCCGGCAGCGTGATTTTTTTCTGACTTAATAAATCCTGGTCTAGGATGAAAGCGACGCACTGCAAAGCTCGTTGTTAGTAAACCATAATCGACTTCGAAAGTCGCGAGGAAAGGGATTGCTGTACCCTTCTCGCGATAAAAAATATCTCAGGCAGGAACCGCAGGAGGGGGTCCTACCCCCCCTCCTGTGTGACCCCGGTTGGGTCGTCTAGCTAGTAGAAGTGGAGGATAGGGACCAGAGGGGCAGACGACAGAGTCCAATGATGGGAGGAAAAAAAATAAAAAAAATACGCTGGTTTGCTGCGAACAGCCAGGCTTTTCCCCCATGGGCCACCGCCGAAAACGCCGAATTCCGAAATATGTTGAAAAAAAAAATGTCACCGAAAACCAAAAAGTAGCGCCGTTTTTGGAGGGGGCTCCGCCGAATCATGGGTTGAGGTCGCCGATTCTCGCCGATGAATTCACGGTGCCCCTGCTTGCGACCCCCAGGAGGAGATAGCTTGACACTCACACACCCACACGGCTTCACACACACAGCTGAACGGCGGTGCGATGCCGTCGCCTCTTACCGGTATGGAAGCCTACTCTGGTGATAAAAGATGGGAAAATAGCAGTGGCGACGAGGATTCGGAGGAGGAGGTGCAATTTGTCGGTCGAACGACAAGTGCCGCCGCTGGTTCTGGTGCCGACAGCGGCGGCAGCGGCAGCGGCAGTGCCACACCACCTGCTGCCGGTGCCCGGGATCCAACACGGGTCTCTACAGCCGGCTCAGCTTCTTCCAGCAGCACCAGTGCCTCTGTACTCCAACGTAGCGCTGGTGGCACGATTTCTGCAGCTGGTTCATCTTCTAGAGAGAGGGGCTCTGCACGCCAACGTAACGCTGGGAACAACACTTCCCCGGATACTTCAAAATCGATGCCGCCGGAGGTACAAACCGGTGTGAGGAGTTGCTTCCAAGAGGCGACAGACGCGTCGAAGGAAAGAGCGCGCGAGAAAAGTGAGAAGCGGGCCGCCGAAAAGCGGGCGAAGAGGGTGGACGGGATCGCGAACAACCCTGCTGCGCCGGAGCGAGAGGAGAGGATCGAGAGGGACCGTGCGGTCGTCAGCCTGACCAAACGGAGGAAGTCCCAGGCCAAGGCCGCGACGGCGGCGGGTAAGAAGTGCAGCAGTCGGGAGCTGTCTCCGAGAGAACCCCCAAGTAAGAAGCGCAGGTGTCAGTCCTTGACCGGATCAAAAAGTACCCGAACGAAACCTTGTACCGGTCTCGCACTGGGACGCTGGAGTGCCGAGCGTGCTTTGGCAAGGAAATCACGAATTTCAATCACCGGGTGGACGCCCACATCAACGGGAAGAAGCACAAGGAAAGATTGGCGAGCACGCTGGCGACGGACGGCGAGGACGAGGTGAGAGTGTTCGTTGGTGGTGCAGTTTGGTGTAGTGTAACACACCACTAGGCTACTGCGGTTTGCATTTGCTGCGTACCTGCCTTTGCAGGTGTTTGTTTTGCTGTGTCGCCGCGTCCCTTTGTCCTCGAGATTGTATGTAGATTGTGCAACCCCACACGCCACAACCTACAACCTAACCATGGGACTAAGCTTTCGGTCATGCTGTATGTGTTCGTTTCCTCGCTACAGAATTTGCTCCGCGTGTGTCGCAAGCGCTGCGAAGATCAAGGAGGGACTTACGGAGGCTCGCTGTCAGACAAGGACAAGCTCACACAGATCAAGGCGGTGAGGGGTTGTTTGGCGGCAGGTGTTCCGCTGAACGCGCTGGGCAACCCTGTGTTCGAGACGTTCCTCGCGCATGTCAACGTGAACTTGCCAAGCTCCGGGCATCTGGGTGAGCACATACCTTGAACCCTGGAGGAGGAAGTGAGAAATTAAAGTTACCAATAAAAAACAAAGGAGGAGGACTGTGCCTGGTGTGTCTGTTTTTCAAGACGGTAGTGTGGATGAGTGCAAAATTCAAAATCTCACCGATAAACACAATACTCAACACGTGTGTGTGTCCTGCTGTGTCCTATTCCGTTGAATTTTTCGGGACCAGCAAGCCAAGATACACGATGAGACGGGCGACCGATCTTACCTGTTTTGCTTCGATGCCACTCCCTACCTCTGCGAGTGCTTCGGGGTTGGGGTTCGATTCATCAACGCAAGTGGGCAGGTAATTAAAATGTTGCTGTTGCCGTTCGTCCTCAGAGGCTCTTTGTCGTGCCCGAGTCCGATGGTATCAGTTTCGACGTGAAAGCAGTAGTAATAGTTTGGCAGCCAGCGAAACCACCCAGTTCCTGTGCCCCCTCTCCCTTCGCGTCTATGTTTCGACTTTATCTCGACAGGTGGCACAGGGTGTTCTGCAGTTCAGCATGCTAAAGAAGAGCATGACGGCGGACGACATTGCTGGTGAGGTCACCCGCATCGTCACCCACGAGAATGGCCTCGACCCGGTCAAGTACCGAGCCATCATGGGTGACCGCTGCGCGGCAAACCTTCTAGCCATGTACGCGCTGGCGAAGTTGTTCAGATACGCGGTCGTCATCGGCTGCTTGTCCCACACATTCAACAACATCGCCAAGCAGCTGTGCACCCCGGAGTTGGACACGTTCCTTGGAAAGATGCACACCCTGCTCTCGCACAGCGCTGGAGCAAAGGCGCTCTTCAAAGCGAAAGTCGGAGTCCGCGCCCCATCGACGCCTAGACATCGGTGGGGCTCCAGATTCGATCGTGACTACACCATCGCCATGAATTGGCCGGGAGTGAAGTTCATCGCCGCCTACGAGAGTGCAGACACGGACAAGAGCAAGGCGGCGAAGTCCATGAGGGATGAGCTAGTGCGAGTTCGCGACGACAACAAGGCCCAGAGATTAGTTCTCCAGTTGCAGCTGGCTCTGATGGTGGACGTCGGCTGTTCCGTGACTTCAGCAACCATCGTCCTGGAGGACGACGAGCCATTGGTACGTACATAAATAGGGCTCGTCCATTTTTGGTGGAAAGCAGAAAGCAGACATTTCGCGTCTTTTTTTGCAGAACTAGTTTCTTTCACTGCTTTATCTATTTCTTGTATATCAACATTTGGCCTCGTTTTCCATTCGCCGCTCTCGGTGCCGCTTTCTCACGATGGCAGGCGCACAAGACGTACAACATCGTGGAGCGGTTCCGCAGCAAGTTCGAGCTCGCTGAAGACGGTGTTTTCTCAGAGGATGTCTCCTTGCCCAGCGTCGCTGCTCTTCTCGACAAACTAGTTGGCCAAGGAGACGACCTGGTTAGCTCAACTACGGGCCGCGCGGGCTGCGAGATACAATAGTTTGTAATCTTCACGCTAGATTGTGTAAATTGAAGAGGGCAATGCATCGTGTTTTACTTGTGTGAGAAGATGCCGTTAAGTCATTCCGCGCGTGTTTTCAACGAAGTTTAACCTCGGCTCACCTTCCCCCTTTCTCCCCTGTTGTTCCTTGGTTGCCGTCCGTTAATTTGCGTTGCGTGTTGCGTGTGAAGGGGGCATCTTCCGACTTGCTCTCGAGCGAAATGCAGGACGTCTTGGACACCCTCCGCCAGTACGCACACGACAGGATCGGACGCCACTCCCAAGCGAGGGAGGCCAAGACCATGTTCAAGGCCGCGAAGCTCACGGACTTCGTGTTCATGAAAAGCAGGAAGTACTCCGATGACACCATTCGCATTTAAGGTGCTCCCGTTTGTCAAGAACAAGATGGTCAAGGGGCTTTTGAATGAGAAGGAAGACTACTACATGGCCGCCCGTGACACAGACATCGAGTACGGCCACATGGCGTTCTGGAAGGACAACAAGAAAAGGCTGCCTACGTGGCACGCCTTGGTGTTGGATGTTGCTCTTTTGCAACCATCCTCTGCGTTCATGGAACGAGTGTTTTCCATCCTGCGGTGTTGCTTTAATGAACGGCAGGAGCACGTGTACAGCGACCGTATTTGCGCTTCCGCACTGCTCAAGTACGACAGGGGTCGGGCCCAGAGTAGCAGCTCAGCAGCGAAGACGGGTAGCGCCGAAGATGCCAACAGCGGCGGCGGCGGTAGCGACCAGAGCGATGAAAGCGATGACGAAAGCAACTGATGACCTGTGTTTCAGTTAGTTTCGTGTAGATGCGTTACTTGTTCGTAGTTGGTGGGTCAATACCTGTTCAGATTTGCATGTGTTTGCCCGGACGTAGGCGTGCATGCCATGCATCACGTCGAAGCATCGAAGCATCATAGTACTCCATTTCGTTGATTTGTTTGATAGCTGAGGGCTCGGAATATTGCATGTACACACGATGGTATACGTGCAAGATGTAATTTGTAGAAAAATAAGAGAAGGACGAAGGACACATCATTTCGCTTTTCGCGGACAGGTGACAGGTGACCTCCGCAGTAGTCCAACCGCGTCACGACCCGCTCGTTTGTGTTACTGGAACATGCTGTGTACGTCGCCGCAAATCGCCAACAATCGCCGAAATTGAATTATGACTCGCCGAAAAACATGTAGAAGTCGCCGAAAGTCGCCCAAAAAGGTGTTTGTGGCACACTACAAAAAATCGCCAAAAATTTCCGTGAAACGCCGAAAAAAAAAAACATCACCTACATACGGGGGAAAAGCTTACAGGACAGAACGCAAGACTCCAACATAACAAAAAAAATACCTCGATATTTTGTGTGCCTGCGCCAGTTGCACCCCCACCGTTACACACTCACTACGCCACAACCGCGCCCGGACTGGTGACGAAACCCGATGCACGGCAGCTTATGTGCCTCGTCCTCCCTTCGAGCGAAAGCATCGTGGGCGAAAACAACCCACAGCGCTTTCGAATTTGTGTTCCGCAAGGTCCGACAGATGACCGGGGGACAACAGAGAGGGGGGCCGGCTTTGATTGACTCACCGTCCACAGCATCACGACACCAGGCCACGAAAGCCCTCCACGAAGCACGTCCATGCATGGGCTCCCCCCCGACATCATGCTTTTGTTCCCGACATGCATGTGGGTTGTCATCACAGCACAACCGAGCCTTGGTCGGTGGTAGGGGGTACGCGAATCGTAATGTTGAGGCAGGTTCCCTTCAATCTCTTCGTGCAGAAGAAGGGTTCTGGAAACTTGCGGGAAATTGCCCCTATCAAGCTTTTTCGACCTTGTGGGCAGTCTGCCTCCCAAAAGAATGCGAATCAGCTGTTCGACCTTTGAAAACAGTCACAGCTTTGGCTGAGATGTCTACAGATCGCCTACATTTTTCGCCAGGGCCCAGTTTTGATTTTTCAAGATGCGCAATTTTCACGCAAGATTTTTCCAACACCAGCTTTTGGATAGATCTTGGCCCAAGATTCGCTCCGAGTTGGCCTTTCGGCCGAATCTTCAACATCTTGCTCTGTTGGGAAAAAATCAAACGTGGACCCTGGCGAAACAAATAGGCGGTCTGTATGCATCTCAGGCAAAGCTGTGACTATTCTCGAAAGGTCGAACAGCTGATTCGCACTCGTTCGGGAGGCAAACTGCCCAAAAGGTCGAAAGAGTCAACATCTGTCCAAAGAAAGGAAGTTAAAGATTTGGAAACGATAAACATGGGCCTCAGGATTAGACGCATAGTCTAGTCTATGTCCGGTCCCTCGCTGCTGCTGCAAATGTATACATCAAGCCGGGCTTGACACGCCGAGTTCAGGAAAGGCATCATCGGAGTACGAGTGTCCTGTAAACGATAGAGTGCTGGTGACATCATGCAATCAACCCCCGGAAATGCGAAATCCGACATCATCAAGCAATTTCACACATGCCCACGGCGGTTGGGGTATTTCGAGACAGCTCCGTACATTGGTCTTCTAGCCTCGCAGCCTGCTAAGGGCCAGGTCATGGGTTCGAGTCCCGAAAGAGTGAATTTTTTCTCGCTAAACTTGATCGACTTCATAAGTCGCGAGGGAAGGGATTGCTGTACCCTTCTCGCGATAAAAATATCTCAGTCAAGCAAGAACCGCAGGAGGGGGTCCAACCCCCCCCTCCTGTGTGACCCCGGTTGGGTCGTCTAGCTGGTAGAAGTGGAGGATAGGGGCCAGAGGGGCAGACGACAGAGTCCGATGATGGCAGAAAAAGACAAACAACTGAAGTACATAGACTACTACTCTCACGAGTTTTCATATGGGTCGGGTGGTGATTTTCTACTGTTCATGCTTAGACTAGTCACGAAATAAATCCTGGGCTGGGAGGAAAGTGACGCGCTGCAAAGCTTGTTGTTCGTAAACCATAATCGACTTCGTAAGTCGCGAGGGAAGGGACTGCTGCACCCTTCTCGCGATAAAAATATCCCAGGCAGAAACCGCAGGAGGGGGTCCAGCCCCCCCCTCCTATGTGACCCCGGTTGGGTCGTCTAGCCAGTAGAAGTGGAGGATAGGGGCCAGAGGGGCAGACGACAGAGTCCAATGATGGGAGAAAAAAAAAAAAAATCCGTACATCACCACATTCTCTGTTGGCAGTCTGGCCCAGGCTTCACTTCACGCTCTACCGAACTACGGCAGCACAGCAGACGCAACGTCTTGCCTTCATGCACACATACGCGGAGCATGAAATGTTGCAACGACTCGCGTGTGTTACATCTGCTACAACATGCGCCTACCTGCAGTGGCAGCACGGTTTAAGCATGACTATCCACCCCAACAGAGAATCAATAGACTAGAGGCCGTAGATCTCACACGTGCTAAGTCACGCAAACTGACTGAGTTTCCACCCGGATCGACGTAAGGATTGAACGGTTGCAACTCTCAGTTCCAACTCCAAGCCTCCACCTGGCATACTAAAAAAAGCAGACACATTTCTCTCACTTATGATTCCGACATCTAAGTAAACCAAGCCAAACCCGACTGCCCTTCTTCGTGGAGTATCTTATCCCGAACACCTCGCTCGGCCTAAACTCGTTGGGTGGAACACTGCCTTCCTCCTGTGGTTGCCAAGTGTTCGACCTTGGCCAAACCCTACGCTATTGCGAAGCTTTCCGAACGTCAACATGCCACCATAGCTCCGATGCACTAGCTTTTCGAACCTCCTTTCTTCCAGCTTCGGTTTCCAACAGGGGTGATTTTCTTCCTTTTTTCTTGTCCCCACCCTTTGTGCATCGAATGATGCATGGCGCATGGGGTTGTTGTGCCTTTTTTGGAGCAAATCTCGTTTGTCCGCAACACCTCTTGTTACGGACTGTCGTCTCCACGCGACCCTCCCAGTTTCTTTCGGCCCCACCTCTACCCCCGCATTGCCGAAACTTGAGATGTTGGTCGAGAGTGTGCCGTCAACAACTGGGGCGTTTACTCCAGGTCAGATGTCTCGTCATAAGTTTTGGTAGAAGGGGATTACAAGTGTACGCGACAGCGACGTCTTGTGCCATTGTACTTCATCGGCCATGACTTGCTAATGGATATTTCCAAGCCTTGACTGCTTCCTAGCAGACATTCATTCTCACCGGCAGCAGGTGATGCCGGTCTTGTTCATGCCAATGATCCCTTCGAAAACGTTCACTCATCAAAGCACGCAGAAAAACAGCGGCAAGAATAGTACGCACAAGCACAGATGCCGCGGGCGGGCAACCTAAGCAAGCATGGCAAACGGTCCTGGAACTTCGGCGTCATGTCAAACCAGTTCTTGGTTGCACGAAATTCGGTCCTGTACGCGTTGGTATAGGCCCAACAATATATCGTCTGCGTCTTTTTTGCCTTCTGCCCCAACAACAACACCGCGACCATCAGGACCACAACCCCCCACACAATGACGGCTCTTGCACTACGAGCTACGCGAAGGGTGGGCTATCCACTACCCACTCGGGCAGCAACGCAAGTATTCCGTGGTGACATCCCTCCCATTCCACACGCGACTAACTTCTCTCGTAGATAAATCCACCAGGGAGAATGATGTTCGGTTTCGAAACGAAACCCGACGGAAGCTTTTTTGCTCTGTGAAAATGGTGTAAAAATGAATCGATACCGTTCACTTGAGTTTGATATCTTTTGCGGGATCCCCAACACCAATCACGGCGAAGGTGCTCTCAAGCGCTGGGTTCTATTCGGGTAGTGTGCTCTGGGCCCAAGCCCACAGAGGTAGAGAAAACGACCGCAAGTTCGGAGCACATACTAGGAGTGAGATAGTGCGGTGGCTCAGGGTCTCATGCAAAGCTTGATCTCTGATTACGGACCCCCCCTCGGCGTGAAACGTCTGCGCCGATGGCATCCCAGGACAATGGTAGCGATGCCGTCCTCTGGTCCACACATGGCAAGCTGGAGTCACTCACTAGCATGAAGGGGTCCAAGTAGCTTCAAGGGAGGCACCAAGCGTCCCGTCGAAGACCACCGTTGGTCTCCGGTCTAAGAACAATGAGGATTCAGCAACAAGACCAGCATTTGCTCTCCCACAGGGTAGAATTCCAGTCTTCGGCGTCGCGCACGATGCGGCCGGGACTTCCAATGAGATATTAGCAACAAGACCAGTACTTGTTCTCCCACAAGTTAGACCTCCAGTCTTCGGAGTCGCGATCGATGCGGCCGGGAAGCTTCCAGAGCCTTGGCCTCCAGGCTGGGGAGAAGGAGTTCGAAATACGGAGGCCGGGAAGGATCGGGAACCGGGGATATTTGCAGGCAGCTGACAAAAGGCAGAGGATGGTTCACGACTAAGTTTTGCTCGTAAATGTTAGGGGTTGCGGGACGAGCGACTGGCACGCCGGTGTGGTTGGTCGGTTAATTTACTGCACTGGGCAGACAGGCTTGGCGCATGTGCACGAAAGTGCTTTCCTGAGGTGCTTCCTTCAGCAGAGAGTGTGACGACACTTACTTGCGGTTGGACATCGATGGTCCGGGGTGAGGAAAGGTGCCAGTTCGGAGGCATTGCCGCTCACAACGCGTGCACGTACCGCGATCTGCGCACAAGATAGCACACCCACGCAACTCCTCCGAATCCTGTCGGGAATGGTACCACGAATCCACGAGGGCAACGACTTCTCTCCAAAACGTTTAGGCGTGCAACATGATATACCTGCAACTGTTCCTGCGCGCCCGGGACTTCGCCACCACCCCCTGCGTACACGAAAGTCATCACGACTGCAACAGAACCCCCGCAGATTTCCCAGAAGCCCCTCGCTAAACGGCAGGTCGAACTCTCTTGTTCCCTGAAAACAGGCGCGCGGACGACGACACACACTTGGTTGTTGAAAAAAATAAGTCTACGAGGAAAAAAGGTAGTTCAGACGAGACACGGGGGGCGAGAGAAGGGGGCGAACAGCGCGGAAGGTAATACTTGTATCGTTGGATGGCGTCGGCGTCGTACGTCACGAGAGTTGGCCGTTTTCGCGTCTTCAGGCAGCTACATAGTCTTGAACGGCAGTTTTCGTGTGGCCAATAAAGATACTGCCTGTCTAAGGTCTAAGGCGCATCGCCTGCGAGAGCACCTCGCTCCACGAGAAGGGGGCGGCATCTCAAAACTGGGCAAGCTGCCGCAACAATCTCCTTATGCCATAGGTTTCACCAACATTGCCCGTGCTGCCCTCGATGAGCCTTGTCGGCCACAACATCCCGCCCTGCCGGCGTCAACATTTTGTCAGGCGAAGGAGAACACCTCCCGCGGTCCACACCGAGTACCTCCAAATACTCCAACGAGTCTGGCCCCCTGCCTCCCCCTCTTAGGCACTCGTAGCTTGTTAAGCTTGAGATCGCCATCCAGCTGTGGGTCACCAGGAGGACGACGGACAACGCGAAGCACGGCCACAGGCAGCAGGAGCACGCCAGAGCCAAGGCATTCCTTGACGCCCAGCTGCCCTCAGCAGTTGTCGACTCCGTTGGTGTTGTCGCCCCTGCTGCAACTCAGGCCAAGAAAAGCCCGAACCGTCACAAGCACACACGATTCCCGAAAAGGTTTGGGCCCGTTCATCGGCGGTGGGTTGGCGCGGCCGACGCCAACAGCAACATTACGAGGAATCGGGGTGCCAAGCTCTGAAAACATATCTTCCTATTTCGGCTAAATTTAGTGGCTGACTGAGCTTTGCCTAGCTACGTTCATTGGCCAGTCTGTGGGCGGCGACACAGCACGAGTTCAGTGCCAGCCAATTTCACCGACAAGGGCGATCCCTGTGGCACGCAGCTTTGATCACGACGCGAACTGCGACCTCGCCACCTTCCACGTTCATGACGCTTTGGTTGATTTTGTGGAAGTTACGAGGGATGTACAGGTCCCGCGTATACAAGCATCCAAGCGGGCACCCGGCACAAGTCACAGCGTGACACCACTTGGTTGCTCTATTACGTGTAACGCGATTCCACCGGCACCTTAGAGGGGCCCACCCAGGCACGTCTCAACCGGCGGCGCTACTGAGGGTCCAGACGTCCCATCTTGGTCTTTATCCACGACGCACAAACAAAACAAATAAAATGCCGTTCCGGCTCCGTAACGCTAGTGCAACACGAACCTTCACCCACCGCTGGCGAAAGAGTAAAAGAATAGCGGTCGCCGTCATCGGAGAAGCCGGACATGGTTATTCGAATCGCCTCCGCCAGGGACACCGTCTGCGCCAGCAAGAACCTGCAACGCGGCCCCCACCGATCAAGAGAAAGGCGCCGACGCTCCGTCGGTATGTGGTTGATGTAGGCGGGGGGGTGCTTCTAGTCGGGAGCTTGCTGCACAGCTGATACAGCTGCGATTCGACACCCGTTGATACTCTATTGTATCGAAGTGACCCTACTACAACAACAACAACAACAACAACAGCCACAACAACGACGACGACAGCAACAGACCCCCATCAACTACTCTTGCTGCGCGACTCTCACCACCAGAAGCGGCAGTGGTTCCTCTCCCCGATACACGTCCCGATAACCTTGCAGTGGTGATCAAACGTCGCCACGCACCGTCCGCATGCCCGGCAGTGGTGGGATCGCAGGGGCACCTGGACAACAAGAAGAGCGAGGAAAAAAGAACTAATGAGAGTTTTATCCAAATGTCCGGCACGTGACGTCACCGCCCGTTTACCCTAGCTGCTTACAGTTGAAAGATGCAGTCATGCTTGGTTGGGGGTGTCGTGTTTGGGACCAACTGTGAAGACGTTTCACAAACCACGAAGCAGGCAGGCATCGTTGAACCGTGAACGGAGAACAGAAGGGCGAAAGACTACACACCAGCGCGCCAAGATTGAAGTGAAAACGAAGTGAGGGCTTTCCGTACGGCCGACCTCCACGGCTGTCGCAGGATTCGCACTGCCACGCCCGATTGCACGAATTACGTATCCGGACATGCTCGCAATGCACAACCAAACTCCACCGGCTGTTGCTCTTGACGACATGGATCCCTGCTAACGACAAGTAACTGTCCCTCGTCAGTCGTGACGACGCCCTCAACGACAAAGAGCGAGCGTTGCACGATAGGTGTCGCGAGCATCAAGCAAGAATCCTGGGGGTTCAAGATGGCAGGACGAACGACATTGAAAACCCGGCATGCGAAATTTCCCCGCTGTTGTCCCCTCCCAAAGAAACACGTAAGTCAAATCTTCACGTTGGCCGCTGCAGCCCTTCAAGGGATCAAGGCCCCAAACTTCGACTAGAGAACCTTACGTTGCGGCGATGCCTGTACTACTCGATTGTACTAAATAGTGCTCTTGACAGCAAACCGCCCGTACCGCAATCTGGGACAGCTCGCCGTTTCTGAAACGCTGCACATGCCACCCGACAACCCTTCATCTCCGCCTTGAAAGCCCATACCGGAGACCTACGCAGTGGATTTCTCGCCCGTACATACTCCAGCGAGTTGAGTCAACAACGTCTGCCAGCCACGCGGTCAACACGAGTTGCCATTCCAAGTTCGTGGTTCATACAGACACAACGTGTACGTTCCCACTCCTTACAACAGTATCGTTGAATGGGCTATTTTACCACGCCCCCCAAATGAGAGACTGGCCAAACCACAGAGACCGCTCTGCTGCTTGCCAGCAGTTGATCGCCTCAGATATCCAAACATGACCCTCGATACCACCCCGCTTCCCGTGAGGCGATAGCTGGTGCTCCATTGCTCGGCGACGGGAAACAGAAGGATTCATTTCCGACGGGCGGCGAGATTCTAGCGCTGCCCAGGGGAAGCATAAATGATGTTGTCGTCGTCGTGTAGGGGTAAAGGTTAAAACATCTGGCCGAGGGGGGAGGGAGGAGTGTAAAACGGTAGAACAATTGTCCTATAAAAGGGGGGGGGGGGGG